CATAATATTACTGTATGTAAGATGATCCCAATACATATTTAATTCGTAATTATTTGAAATTCATGCCTCATCGTTTTGCTTAGTCTAAAAATATAAAAAAGACTTGACGTGCTGCACGGTAAAACCTGTATCTGTTTATCTTTCTCTAGTGAACACCTCTTCTTATCAAATATTCCTCTGAATTCTGTATGACATTGCCTCTATGGAGTGAACATCTACCAACTGGGTACACATGTTTTACTGTAGTTGCATTAGATAACCATAACTCTTATTCAAATAAAGTACACTCTTAAAATCAAATTTTGCATTTTAGTGTTTCAAGAAACACTCCACTTACCTTTTTAGAACGACTAAACGGTCAAATCAAGTAACTAAGTCAACATTCGATATTCGTATGTTCATCAATATTTACTAAGAATGGTGCCACGCTTGAAGTAAACCTCTCTTTAATTATTTTCAATAAACCTATCAGCAACTGTGTAAATGATAATTTTGATGTTCTGTTACATATTGGTGAAGCAATCTTTGGGATATGGCCTAAATTTCTGAATTTCCACCATGTCCCTGTATACCCCTACTTCAAAAGATGTACGTTATTTGTCATTTTTCATTATGAATCAACCATAAATGTATTTTTTCTTGTTAACATACAGAATGAACTTTCAGTTTTCAAATATTGAAAGATGGTACTGCATTTATTTTTTATTGATATGGAGCAAACAAATGTGTGTCAATTTACACTGTAATATCCCACATACTTATATTTCAATCATGGTAGTTTTTGAAGAAGAATCAAGAAAATCCATGTTTTCAAATGAATTCATCCTTGTCAAAGAACGTAAATGAGGATATGCGGTTTCAAAAACTAACAACATGTTTTAAGTTCTCACAATTCTTGGTTAAAACAAATATTTCGAAAGTTGTGATTTCGAATGTAATATCCAACTCAATGAAATTTGTTGATATTTGTGAATTTTTTCTTTCGAAATGCACACTGCTGGATTACATAACCTTGCCTCGTTCGATATGCACGAAAAGTGTATTGTTAATACTTGACGTCTTTCGGATAGTTGGATGTGTTTGACGTTGTCGTTAATCTCCAACCACTGTAAGTTCCAACTTAATTTTTGAAAGCCAAATATGATAGTCAAGAATTGATATTTAAGTAACACGTTGATGCATACATCATGTGTGTACATTAACTGTCGAATACATGCCGACTAACATTTATGTAAATATCCACAGTTAACTCAAATCATCAATCCTCGAAACGGTTTATCATATAACCTGGTGGGTTAATGTTTCATTTTACTTAATAATTATGGTATCGGATTTGAGTATGGTATTAGTCGAGGCTTAAACAAAGCAAATTGCGTGAAACCTTTTGTGAAAATTCGAACGATTCTTCAAGAATCCTCATTCAAAGTGTTACCACAGTGCTCCCCGGGAGTGGACATTTCGTCTTGTGTAATCAAAATAATAGCGGGTGGTTTGAATTTTTGTTTGAGTTTATTAGCATCTATAAATTTAAAAACATATCGCCTCATTGAGAGGTACATGCAGATTTTAGCGATCTATCATTATAAAAGGCTAAATTTTGTGCAAAAACAGGAGTTGACACGCTTACATTTGGAATTGAAATTTCCTACATAATTGTCGACTCATGTTTAAAAGTCATGAAAACAAGGTTGAAGACAAAACAATGACACAGTTATTGTCTATTCAGCATGGGATCACTAAGGGATATATTATTAATGACTTAAATCGTTAACGGTTAAGTTGTATCCCAAGAAACATATCAATTTAGAAATGCAAAATGCTCAATTTTGTTTTTCAATTATAAAAAATGGCACCTGTAGAGAACAATGTTTACAAAATTATTTAAAACGGAGATATTTCCTTATGTAACATTGGCATGATTCAGGGAGTAAATAAGAAGAATATGCATTTGATTCTATATCTTGTCCCAAATGAGTTTGTTAAGGAGCGGTATATCTTAACGTACTTTTATCATCCCGAACTCAAATATTTCGAATACTTATTTCGAGAATGCTTTGTTGAGAATAGATTCGAGATGTACTCAAAATTAATACGTTAAAATGTGTATTATCATCTTAAATATCACCTCACAAATTATTTTGGAAATCAAAGATGTACGATTTTTGAGATTTTCATTTTCGAATATTGACTGAGTTGCTCGACTTGACTGTAAAGAGGGAAGAACAATACACAGTTTTTCTTCCCTCTTTAGTCGTTCTAAAAAGTATGAACTTTCATACATGCCATACCATTATATGTATTTAGTTTCACCTTCGTCAAATGATTTTACTTCAAATAATCAAGTTACCGTCAAAATGACCATGTCAGGTGATGGATCCATTGTAGGCTCTACGAAAGGCAAATACCCTATACTGAAACGAAGTTGACTATCATTTTCACGAGTTACCATACATTAGTTGGATTGCAACTCAAACTGAGAAAAAAACTTAAAGAGTGTTCGTATGTACATATCAGAATTTGAATTGTGTACTTTTATTACGTTTCATTTCAAAAAATTAAAATACCCAATTCTTCAAGATCTCATTAATACCTTCAGAGTTATGGTGAGAGCGTATGTAAATATTATCATGTCACTATATTGTACCATTAAAAAGAAATAAAAGAAATTGTACATTTTGGAGGATGATACTCCGGCGCCGTCTTCAATAGCGTTTACGCTTAGCGTTGTTGGACTTCAAACAGAAGTTACCCGCAAATGATATACCCATTGCATGGAGTAGGTAATTTTCTTTGATTTAGCGAAACATATGAGTAAAAAATAAATTGTGTGGATTTCCTAGTGTTTCTATGCGAAATAGCACGCTCCATCAGAGCGGACAAATTTTTCGATACCAGCCTGTGATATTGTTATCTGAATTAGGATATCTTAGTCCACGATTAAACTCCCATAGCGTTACCGTATCACTATCACTAACGCCATCATAGGCGAAACAAAATATCACGTTTACCTTTCATTAAGCGGTGAAAATATCAGTGTACAGTTGTACTGTTGTACCCACACATGATGAAGAAACAATTTATCATATTAGGGAGTTACTTAAGGAATGAAAACCGAGATTCGATTACTATATGATTTATGGCACAATAGGTGACCGACATTTTTAATCTGCACATCGTTAAAAGGCCGAAATTGCGTTTGGGCTTGCGCTTTGCACTTTAGGGCTGCAATACTGCATTATATCAAGAAAAAACTGTCTGAATGGTAACATAGTCAAGATGGTCTAATTTATAATATGGATCCGAGAAATTTGAACTTGCTAAAAATGCTTAAAAATATCATTACGCACGTTCATACTGTTATTAGACCACTCACAATATAATAATATTTACTATTACTATTTACTAGATTGGACCTTACATGAGTGAATTGATTTTAAAGAATTATAGGATATAAATGACAATATTTTGAAAACACATACGATATAATCATATCATGCAATTTGGACAGTGTTTGATGCCAGAAAGCAAACATGCATTTACATTATTAATTATTAATTTGGCCAGGACTGATTTTCAATTTGTTCCCCTCGTTGGGAGTCACATTTTTGCGAGGTTAATGCAGTCTATGCTGCAGTGATAGTTGTGAAGACGACAGAAGGGGGATATGTGTGAGAACTGAACATGGAAATGTTGAAGGTGTCGACATTCAGTCATGGGTGTTCAAAATCTGAACTGCTGACGTGTTCAAAAATAGAAGTTATTTGTTAAACTTTGTAAGTCAGGCATGTTGTCAGGGGCGGATCAAAGATTTTGTGTTAGAGGGGGGGCGTGTGATGATAACTGCGAGCGAATTAAAAAAAGATTCAAATTTTGTAAAAAGCAATGAGGCAAAACACGAATTTTCCGACTTTTTAGGCGTGCGCCCCCCCCCCCCCCCCCCCACGCCCCCGTCTAGATCCGCTGGTGGTTGTGTACCCTCGTGTTGCATCTACAACTGTGTATATTAAATTGCTAGGCAAGAAATATAAAACAAAGGTTATCCTTCCGCTGTAAATCAAATTCTTATATCATGCGTCTTTGTATCTCAGGATGTTTTATGTATGATAAATTGGACTGTTTGAGTATACATCAGTAGTAATGGGTTATTACTTCAATTTCTGCCATAATAATTTGGATTTGATGGTGTTTTCGGTTATATCAAATCATTTACTGTCACGTGGCCAGGGCAATAGTGGTGATTACAGTTCGAAGAAAGACTATTGAGACAATTAAAACCATTTGGCATAAATCAGAATACTCAAGAGACAGCATGGACTCCCTAGAGCTGTTCGTTTTTTGATAGGCGGTAATATGTAATTAGACAATTTCTATTCGTCACAAAAGGGATGCTTTAAATACCAGTATATCAAACCAAAATGCTGTACCATGGGCATTCAATAGAGAAAAAGAGAGTCATGAAATGCTGTACAATATTTGTAAAGTGTGTGCGGGTTTCAAATATTGAACATTCTACAGGGTGTCAGATAAATATCCCCCCCCCCCCTTAACATCAAGAGAATTAACTTTTGTGCATAAAAGTGCTAGTTGAGCTAGTCATCTGAAACTTCTTGTAGAGTTGCTCAATGAAGCCTTGTTTTAATGTCCTAAAGGACACTACAGATATCATGAAGACAAAAAAAATTATGCAACGTTATGTTGATGGTAAAGTTACGGTGACAGCCTGTACAGAAGATGTTTAACGATAATTTCATGATCATCATAACTGAGAAGGTAAATCAAATATAGCCTAAGTAGGTTAATTACATATTTTATGTCACCCTGCAATATGAAAAGTATGCATTATTTTTTCCCACCCTGTATATATTATATGGAGCAAATCAACTGAGATTGTTTGTTTCTCTATACAAGAGAGATCCAGGGAGTCTATTGGTCAATATCATGAAGACAATAAGGTACCTTATTAGACTACTAAATGCAGCTCTGCGTGTACGTGGGCACTAATGGAACTGACGGGGATGTGCACCTATATAAGCCAATGCAAAATTATATCAGCTAGTTAGAAGCGCACAGTCGTTTGAATAGTGATTGGTAATTGGCAATTATAATAGAACAGACGCTCTGCTTTCAACTCATTTTCTATCTAAGAATCACAGACAGTGTTTCTATGAAGTGATTCAAAGAGGATTATAAATAATTCTACTTTATCTATAACGGAGAATACTTGGAGGATATTTGCGGAAACGTCGATTCTACACGTAAGACGATGGATTACTTGGGTGAAAACTTTACATTTTATTTGAGCCTTTTCAATTCTTCTGACCATATTTCACCGTCAATGGAAGATGAAACATCTTTGATACGATTCATAACGATTGCAACAATTCTTTGCTTTGTTGCGATAGTCGTCAACACTGTATCAATGATTGCCATTAAGTTTATTCCCGGGAATCTTACAAGCACCCATCTGCTGTTTTTGAACTTGAGCGTCGCTGACCTGTTTGGATCTTTGTCCACGTATTTGGAAATTATTCCCAGGATGGATGTCTTATGGACTCACGAAGATGAACTCAGTTCTTCTTTCAAACGTATAGCGTTTACCCAAGCATTCAGTTTCATCTTCTTCACGTTGTTCTATATGGAGGGGGCCCTTACATTATTCCTCATATCAGTGTTGCGCTATATAGCTCTCTCCCAACCTTTGGTTTACAACCGAATCGCCAGCAAGAGGAACATTAGCATCTACATCGTGTTAAGTTGGATCGTATCTATTCTTGTCAGCCTGCCTGGTATACTAGCATTCAAATTCGACGATCTCCCTTTTCTCGAATATTGGGACTACATCTGGCCGTGTATTCTCTGCTTCATTCTGATCATCGTCATCATACTGTATTGTCGGGTTTCTAAAGGACTATGGAGGAGATCATCTTCGGCAAATTCGCGTCAATCAGCAAATGATTCATATAAAGCTTTCGTCACTTCGTTAATCCTCGTGGTTGCTCTAGTGCTTTTCTCTCTGCCATACATAGCAGTAAAGCTTATCCGAGTTCACATCTTCAGCAGCACGTTACTAATGGTGCACTACAACTTCATATGTTACCTTCCCTATATTAACTTCATAATGGACCCAGTTGTTTATGGACTCCGTACGAGGGACATTCGAGCGGGATATGTGAGGCTTGGGGAATCAAGCGGTTGCTTCAAGGGGCGGATGAGACTGACTCCTCGCGACGTTAAGTCGAAGGAAAATTCGGCACAAACTGACGTTAGTGCTATGCCACTGACTGCAACTACTAGCATTATACATGTAGACAAGACAACTACCAAGTCGAGTAATTGCTAACTATTACACGAAGAACATTATAGTTTCTAAATAATGAATTGATGAACAGTTCCATGCATTACAGAGCATTACAAACACTTAAAATGCAGATGATCGGAGCTTGATTGTGTATAAAACGCTCCCGATTTATACAGGTAGATTGGAATTATTGCACTGTTTGCCATTGCATCATTTTTATCTTACCAATATACATATGTATTTGTAATATCTATAATGCTTGTCGTTTTTTAGACTTCTCGACTAAGGTCCTTGGGATAAACCATTGCCAGCTTAGAAATCTTTCTGATTGATACTTCAAAATAATATTTTGTGGCAATAATTCCATTGTCAGCAATTACATGTACTCGTATACAGGATTGGTGGACATTTTGAGCTTCACGTATTTTCCCTTTATTTCAATCACCAAATGTTTATAATATGTTCCCATTTTATCTCAAAAAGATTCATACGACAGATTAAGATGACATCGTGATTTGTTTAACATTCAGTGTTACTGCTTGTCCATTAACGATGTTGAGACAGATAAGAGCAGCTGCATATCAATAATTGATTCAAATGGCAAGACAATGATTCTGAAACGTGCTTCTGACGGTATCAAGACAATTTACCCCTTGGATATTTCAACCCGGCCTCCCCTTATACTTTTCACCCCATAGACATTTCGTTCCCCGGATGTTTCATCCCATAGACTTTTACCCCCTGGACAGTTCACCCCCTAGACATTTTCAACATGGACTTTTCATCCCTTAGATGTTTCACCCCCTGGACATTTTACCCCTTGGGCAATTAATCCTCTGGCTGTTTAATCCCCATACATATATGTATAACAAACAATACTAGTCTCGTAAATTAAAAAGAGTTTGCAATTTGCACTGATTGAAAATGCTGATCTTTAATTGCCTAGGTAATATCCTTTCTTGTTATTTATTGCATTGTATAACAAATACTATTATGAAAAAGCATCGTTAGCAGACATCAAATCTATGGTGAAGGAGTGAAACGTATAGGGGTGCAATGTCTAGGGGTGAAGTGTTTAAGGGGTGACACGTCTAAGGGGTGAAACGTCTAGGGGTGAAATGTTTAAGGGGTGAAACAAACAGGGCTGAAACGTCTAGAGGTGAAGTTTCTAGGGGTGAACTATTTAAAGGGTAAAACAAACAGCGTCTTAGGGGTGAAAAGTCCCATGGATGAAACGTCCAATGGACGAATTCTCTAAAAAGCACTTCTGATAGTTAGCAATTCCTCCGTACAATGGCATTTTAAGAATAGATTTGCTTCATATTATTACGATAAGTTTATGCAAATAATAGCATTCATCGTAAAGATGATAGTATTATAGTTTAATAACATTGCTTGGCAATGAAAGTGCGGAATCGCTATCAGCGATTTTAAATTACAAAAAAATGCAATAGCGTATGTAGCCTGACGCACTGCATTTTTTCCTCAAATGTTATTCTTGAATAATATCTCTATGAGGAATCAAATATAACAAATCGTAACACTAGTATTTGAGCTAGCCCAACCAATTTTAAATCGCAAAATGACAGTGGACTACAAAATAATTCATAATCTCAGTTCAATAACGTTTGAATATTTTTTCTGTAAAATTCCATGATGCGACATATTAATGTCATGCAATGGTCATTAAATGGCTATAACCATCTTTGCTCTGAGGATGATAACAAGGAGTTAATCTGCTACGTTCTATAGTGGCTAAACACGAAGTTAACAGATTTTCTATTTTCGATCTTGATCACATTTTTTGACTTGCTTTCTAGATTTATCGGATGTACAATCATCATCAATTAAGCCATCGCATGCTGTTATTGATTATAAGTTGTGTGTATTCTCCGAGGAAGTGTAAAGTTATTTTTGTGACTGAAATTCCCTATTTCTAAAAATTCCCTGCTCATTACCCTTATTTCCTGATTTCGACAGAATACGTCTTGATAAACAATATTATTATTTTAATACCTTGGGAATGCTATTCCAAATTCAAAGGACCATACAATATATTGAATTAATATACCAATGACGCAAGCGAAATTACAAAGTAGATTTGTGTTCATATTTTAAATGATATCCTCAATAAATAAAGCGACAAACTGACATTTTCTGTGACATTCTGACATTTTTCATTTAAAGATATCCATTGAGAATAGATAATGAGAATAATATGTCATATTTACAATATTCAACGAATGTTTTAAAACGAATGATGGCATGTTAGTTAAGTGGATGTAAGAACAAAATTTGCTGATGATAACGGGAACGGGAAAATCAACTAATAAATAGATGAACCAAGTGCAGTTGAGACAGCCGGAATAGGATGATACAAGATTGCTTCTTTTATCAAAGTAACCAGAACGCACAGTACAGGCAGTACAATGAAAGGGTAATCCACTAGCTAGGCGTCCTCATACAAATCATTCCAAGACGCATTTACAAAGATACTGGTAGAATACACTACTCTATACGTATTGCAAACTATTTTTAAGATAACACAATTATTTTTCCAAGACTTTATTAGGTCTCCAGGTCTCCAGAAGATTAATATCCTGTATCAAATCATTCAATAACTTATTGTGAAGTCAATGAAGATGGCTACTTCGTTATTTACTTCTTTCGATCTTTCAATAAGAATACATCCGGATTAAAGAAATAATCGTATCTTTACTTTTTTGACTTTAAGTAAGTTGTACTAAGTAAGTTTATTGTTTCATCAAAATAATTAGAAGCACTTCATTACAATGTGACGCAGAGCGTATGTTGTGTATATTATCATGTAAAATGATCTGCAAACTATTTTTGAGATAACACAATTATTTTTGCAAGACTTTAGGTCTCCATGAAAAATGAAACACTTAATCGTATGAGCTGTAAAATGAAGCCCTCTGATTGGTCAGTTCTTGTGCTGTAACAATCTGTATTCCTACTGAGATTGTCCCCATTGATCATCTCCGTTGCAATACAGAAAATATTGATACGGAGGGACAATCTCAATCGCAATACAGAATATTTTCTAGGGATTATCTCCTAAGTAAAATGAATTGACCTAAGATCACACGATACAACGTTATAGAACGTTATCGATATTTTGTATCGGCACTCGACTTCGTCTCGTTCCAACACACAATCATTCAATAAATTATTGTGAAGTCAATGCTTGGATGAAGATGCTACTCCGATATTTAGTTCTTTCGATCTTTCAATATAAATACATCAGGATCAAAGAAATACTCGTGTATTTACTTTTTTGAGTTTATTGCTTCATCAAAATATTTAAAAGCACTTCATTACAATGTGGCGCAGGAAAAATGAAATAAATAACTTTATCGTATGATCTGTAAAATGAAGCCCTTTGATTGGTCAGTTATTGTGCTGAATCAATCTGTATTGCTACTGAGATTGTCCCCATTGATCATCTTCGTAGCAATACAGAAAATAGTGATACAGCTAGGACAATCTCAGTTGCAATACGGAGAATGCAGTAATTTCGAAGGGATTATTTCCTAAGTATAAGTTATTGAATGATTTGAAGTGCAATACAGGATATATTCTGCTCAAGAAATTCCGTATTTGAATGAGACGAAGTCGAGTTCCAATACAGAATATCGAGAGGTGAGAAATGGTGGGTTCGGGGCAGATGTGATTTCAGGATATCTATCCGGTAAAAGGTTCACCAAAAATATTTTTAGATAGAAAATTTAATTGTCTAACTTTTTTTACGCTAAGTGTTCAGTTTACTTTATGAATACTAAAGTTACAAAGCTTCAAAGTCATTTTTAAAAATCATTTTCGCCTCCTGTGTTATTTCAATGGACGTTTTATGAAAAATAATTTTGACTTTGAAGACCTTTAACTTTTTTAAACCTGAAAGAACGTATCAATTTTTTATTAAATAAAGTTAGCAAATTCAACTTGTATTTTTGCAAGAACTTGGATGGATGAATATTCTGTTATATAACTTGCGGCAAACATCTCAATCAATATTTTAAGTATTTCCCTCGCATTTTCCTAAAAATTCAAACATAAAGAGGCATTACACGTAGTCCAATGAGGGAGCTAAGGTTGCCAAACTAATGAAGGGGAGTGTACTTATACAAATTGTATTTTATGTCTTTAATGTGATTTGTTGTATGTACAGCGCACTAGAATTTTTCAATTGTGCCACTATTTAAAAAGTATTTGGCAAATAACTAAATAAAATAAAACGGGATAGATATTGTGCTCTCGATATTCTGTGTTCGTATCGTGCCAATACAGAATTTCCCGAGCACAACATGTTTTGTATTTAACTTCAAATCATTCAATAAAAACCAGGAATGAAAGGACAATGTGCAATTATTGGCTAATATCCCTATGGTCAAAATGAATCATTCGTAGGTGTAACATGAAGAATAAAATGTCATATAATACTTTGGAAAATATTAAAGTGCTTGAACACACAAAAGCTGAGATAGGGATCATTTCGTTCAGCAAGGTTGTATTGACTTACATGGGGCTGTACACCATTGACTTAACATGAGGATATCAGCAGATCCCAATAGAGGCCATTGGTTTCCATTGATTATCACAGAAATACCAAAAATACACTATGACCTGAATCGATTGCAAACTTAATAATTTCACAATACGACACAAATGGTTTATCTCATCAAATGAGCAAATATGAAGTTTGCAATCGATTCAGGTCATACTTAAAATTAAAAGATTGTACATTTTTTCATCATTTTTTTCCCTACAAAATGGCTATAGAAAAATGCTCCAAAAACAACTTTTACACTTATCAAATATCATACAAGTTTGTAAAACCAAAGATTATACTATTATATTTCATTATGTCGTAACATATTTGGATAAGATGCAGGGATGCGTAGGATGTAAATGGATTTTGACAGACACAAAAATACTTCCTGGTTTGGAATCTATGCCTCTACACTTCATGGTTGAATTATGACCCTAATAAGTGGCCTATACATCAATACAGTGCTGAATATAGGTCAACAAGATACTAGTGTGCATATAAATGTAATAATTGAAGCAGAATACTCATTTTGAAAAATTAGATGAATTATTTTTTTCCCATGGGGAGATCCCAATGGAGGGTGTATAAGGTCCTTTGCAATTTGAGTAAAGATCTTTTTGACCTTGAGAAGGTCTTTGAAGGTCAACTCTTTTTTGACCTTGGTAATGCCATTGAAGGTCAATATGTAGTCAGATTTGAACTTTTGAGAACTTGTAGATGATTTTGAAAAAAATGGTCAATTTGAACGGTTACCGGCTACCGGATTTTATTACCAACTCATTTAAACAGGAATGGAATGGTGGCAGGAACTAGTTATATTTAGATGACTTGCCCATAACATTGTAGGTAAAGGCCCGGTCACACCGCCTAAACGTTGCTGGAGCGTTCCTTGAACGTTGAAAAAAATCATCAACGCTCGTA